CCGTCTTTCCGCACCGTGTATCAATTTCGTTTTGGTCTTGGGCAAAGATAGATGTATTTTGAAGACGATATCCACATTAAGTATTTGCAGATTGGAGGGAGTACATGATTATATGGTTTTAATATGTAACAATTTAATGTATCCATTCTTTAACATATCATCAAAGGCTCGATCATAATTGGATACATTAAATGTAAATTTCAACTCCTTTTGCTGATTCTTATGAATTAGCTTAAGTGAAAAACAAGGAACTAGTTTAGCTTGTGCTGGCCAAACAAATTCAGCAATAGAACAATTGATAGTTTCATCGTCCGAGCTATCTGAAGGATACTTAATAGCATGCATGTTAGGACGATGTGACTTAAGATACTCTCCAACCCTGCCTGGGCTTTCAACGGTCAAAGTTTTTTGCAGTGATTAATTAACAGAGAGAGACCCAAAGTATTCTAGCTTTTCTTTAACATTAGAGCGCAAGCCGAGAAATCAGCCCTTAATTTCATCGTTCTATGTATCTTGACGATAATCAATTGCACGTCTTGCGTCGCCAGAGAGGGAGCTGCCCGGAGGCCGGAGCAGAGCACGGCGCGATCCCGGCCCCGGCTCCCGGCCGCTCGGGCTGCCTCACACGTGCTCCGTCACGATTCGCATCCTTTTGTTTATCAGCGTAGTATGTCAGCGGTTTGACCTTGGGATTGGGCGGCGCAGCGCTCCGGGGTATGGGCTTTGGCGCGCTGCCCGCGGTCACTTGTCCGTCGCCTGGACCGTGTCACACCTTTTTACTATAATCCACGATCGTGAACGGGCTTAAAGGAGCCGGGAGGGAAGGGCAGCGGCTGCCGGGTTTGGTCAGTCAGATGAGCAGGGACCGTCCCGTTGGGCCACCGCCACAGGCCGCGGGGGACAGCTGGGCGTTGCCGACAGTCCGTACGAGACAGAGGATGGCGACCACGATTCTTCCTTCTCAAGTGGCTTCTTCTATCTTCTTCGCGATTGGAGTATTATTTTCAGCGTGGCCGAGACGTGCCGTCTCACCGGCCTCCAGCTCCAGGTCACGCCACGCCACGACAAACGCACGCCGATTATCATGAGATCAGCCTCCCGTGACACGCATGCCTGATTGACTTTTGGCATGCACGTCCGTGTCTAGTATCTTCTTTATTTACCCTCTCGCTTACCAAGTCCTTAACGAGGCTCAGGAGTCAGGACAGAAGCTAAGGACATACGGAGTAGTACGTGTGACGATTCTATCTACGAAGATACTGGGGCCGTTCGCTGGTGTGCAAGTTCTACACCAGCCGGCTGCTCCCCTCACATTGTACTGTTCATCAAATCAGTCGAACAATATTTCTCTCTTATATAATCAGTCAGTTTTAGTCAAGTTTCAGACCAACGAACGGGGCCACTAGGTCGGCGCCTGAAGCTTTAAGCAGCTGTATGTATGTATGTATTGTAGGGTAACTGTATACGCACGTATTTGGCGGGGCTATGAGTTTGACACTTATTACGGCGGCATGCACACACAGCCAGGCTCTCAACATTATTATGCGCTGGTAATGAAATGAAATGCTGCTTAAACCGCGGCGCCATTTGTGCTGAGGATTTACGAGCCCAACGCAAATAGAAAAAAATAGGTGGCGAAAGAGTTAGTGTTGGCTTGAACTTGAATGCAATCTATTTTCGTTCTCTGTCTGCCGGCTGGCGAGATTCGTGGAGACGACGCAGCGAAGCGTACCATTTTTTTTCCCGTCCGCTTTGCTGAAAAACAAACCTAAATACTGTTTCGACTGATTTATTATAAAAAAAAACAATATTTTAATTAAAAAAACAATCTAAAAAATACGGATTACAGCAGAAACGAACGTTCCTTTGCTTGGACAACCGGCGAGCCGATCACCGCGACACGAACGAACAAATCATGCGTCATCTCTCCACGCCTGCTGTCTGCACGAAACATGTTTTGATACGTGGTACCCCTACAGAGAGATATACACTCCACTACACACTTTCACGTATACGTATATAAAATGAAATAAAATACTCCGTCCCAACTCCCCTATTGCAGTGGTTAGGATCACACGTGGGCCCCCACGTTTCCTCCTCCATCCAGTGGGTCCCGCGCTCAGGCAGTCTCATCGACGAACGCTTCCGGTTCACGTCTGCTGTCCCACGCACTCTTTCCCCTCTTCTTCTGGCTTTCTGCTCTGCTCACAATAAACGCGCAGCAGATCTGCCCGTTACCACTGCTAGTCTGCTACAGGCAAGCGGCAAAGCCACTTCCTTTCCTTGTATAGGTAGACGTAGCGGCCGCGGGGCAGTCGAATCGGGCAAGGAAGAAGAAAGAGGGAAGTCGTAACTGCTGCATCGATCACCCTCCTCTTCCGTTTCCCATTGACAACACAGCAACAGCAACCAGTAGTAACGTCTCCCTTCCCGTCGAACGCCCCACGCCCACGACCCCGTCGGACCCCAGCGAGCACAAGGGAACAAAGCCAGCCACAAGGGAAAGGAAAGGGACTTCCGAGTGCTGATCGACGCCCGACTGCGGCTGCGCTGCCAGAGAAGAGGAGACAAATCCTGTCAGTGCCACGCTCCGTCGCTCCTCTTCCAGTGCCAGTTGGACTAGGAGCAGTGCAGTGCAGTACAGCGCAGGGGTCGCCGGCGTCTCCCACCGTCTGCTCGATCGCCCGCTGGGCTTGGAGGAGAAGCGCCAAGAGACCGAGCACAAGGGGGCTCGCTCGGCGGCATTCGCGGAATGATGACGGCCTGCCGCATCGGCGGTTAATTAGGCCGAGCACAACGCAACCGGCGCGGCTTGCTCCCTCCGCTTCGCTTCGCTTCGCTCCTCCAAGATTGTTGTTGTGTCTCTTGTTCCTGTGACCGCACCGAGGTATGTGCCGTGCCGTCCTCTTTGTTCCTCCCTCCGCTATTTTCCGCTTCCAGTTCGGGTTGGAGTCAGATCTGCTTCAACGCACCGCTCCATTTCTGCCTGCTTCCGTGCGTTTTTTTAATATATTTTACTCCCAACCTCTGGCTGCTCGCTGATTTCCTTTCTACTCTTCTCGCCGGCCGATTGGAGAGGACAATTTTGCGGGCATTCCAATTGAACCACGGGTTAGCTTGTCTTACCGAATGGACCAGCCAGCCAGCCATCCACAAGTCATTCCATTGACGGGGAGATCGTATTTCATCCGTGCAATTTGGGACCGCTCTTTCTTCATAGGCGCTGTCGCAATTTTGCAGCGCGTCGGGTTATGCCCCGCTCCAGTTACTAGTACAGCGCTACTCCGCTGACCGCTAGAGAATTTGCAACTGCCTACAACCATGTATTTCCACTGCAAATTCACGCCATTTTCTTCTTTTCAGTGTGCTCTGCTCACGTACCAAATGAGTTTCATTAGATAGGTTATGAAAGTGTATTTTTTTTTATATAATTCACCGGTAACTGGAAATCCCTTGTATTTCGACGGCGGGAGTACATGTACCGAATTTTTTTTAGGAAAAGAAAATGACAGCGCAACAAAAGGATTTGGCTTCCATCGGTTTTTTATTTTTTATTATTACTATTATAACGCCTTTCCCTCTTGAGCTGACAACTTAATTAAAGTCCACAACTTGGCCTGCCTAATGCCACCTTTAAAGATTTGCTGGTATAACCTTTCTTCGTCCCGTCTCAACATTTCCAGGATGCCTTAACGCTTCACACGGACGTTTCCTTAGTGGAACGAATTTATGCAAAGTTTATTTATGACCCTTTTCAGCTGTCACGCGTTCACGCCTTAAATTCTGCACTTATAACCTGGGAGCATCATTATTATTATTGTTGCGTAGCAGTATGAACTTAACTTTCATTGTTCGAGCTCGAATGTATGCTCGGCCGATTTCTTTTGGCTCAGAGAATTAAAATCGTTGATTCTATTATCCCTTTGCACTGGAAGCTGCTCAGCTAGTATCTTTTGGGTTTGATGTTGATACTAACACCACCAAGTTCGTTAATACTTATCCATTGTATGTCTCATAGCTAGCCTATAGGAAAGGAAAGGAACAGGAGTTTGGGTTTGCTGACGATAGGATCACTATCTTCATTTGTATGCCTGCACGCTACCAAGCCTTTTCTTTTCAGGCCCTATTTAGTTCCCAAAAAGTTTGCCAAAAAGTTCTACAGTAGCCATCACATCGAATCTTGCGATATGTGCATGGAGCATTAAATGTAGACGAAAAAAAAAACTAATTGCACAGTTTGGTTGGAAATCGCGAGACGAACGTTTTTAGCCTAATTAGTCCATGATTGAACACTAATTGTCAAATAAAAACGAAAGTGCTACAGTAGCCAAATTCCCAAATTTCGCGAACTAAACACAGCCTCAATTTCTGATAGAAGTGCTGTCCGCCTGCCTGTGTCCTAGAGTTAAAACATGGTCTATCGTGTGATAACTTAGAATTCTGTTTCACTGTTCTTCTGTAATGCTTAGTCATGAATATTGCTTCAAGGGTTGGTTATGCCTACTTCTTACTTCTATTCACTGTTTTTTGTTGACTCATTTTTGTGCCGATTTGTCAATATTTTTTGCTCAGTGCTCCATACATCTGGCATGGCAATGACTCTGTTCATATACACTGCTGATAGGTTGCATGGTTTTCTAATGGAAGTATGGAACAACATACTTAAAACTTTTTCTATGGTAGTTTATGCCATCACTCTGGGTGCTTAAGAATTCAATACTGATTGCAGACAAAGTTCGATTCAACTTGTGTTTACCTAGAAATGGTTCTGTGTTGTTTTGTGTCTTCGGAGTGATTTTGTGTTACTCTTTTACAGTTTAGGCTGAGTCACCCACATGCAATGTTTGCCTCTCGATAGGGTCATCAATTCTTACATTTGGTTTTGTTTAGAATTGTATTATTGTGGCATCATACTGTCTAGTGGTTAATGATTGTGTTCTTCCTGACATCATGCAGATAGATTCAATAGGATTTCCTCCCAAGCTATTTAAAGGACAACTATGGCTACTATTCAAGATATAGGACTCTCTGCGGCTATCAACATACTGGGTGCTGTAGTGTTCCTACTTGCATTTGCTTTCCTTCGGTTGCAGCCAATCAATGATAGGGTTTACTTCCCAAAATGGTACCTCAAAGGCGCAAGAGAGAGTCCAAGTCATGGGGGTACATTTGTCCGGAAATTTGTCAATTTGGACATGCGTTCATACTTGAAATTCTTAAGTTGGATGGCTGCTGCTCTCAAAATGCCTGAGGATGAGTTGATTAGCCATTCAGGTCTGGATTCAGCTGTGTATCTGAGGATTTACTTGGTCGGGTATGTGACTTGTATACCATGTATTGTAGGCATGTTTTAGTGCTTTTGTTTGTTGTGTCAGTTTCTCTGTCTCCAATTGCACCTGAGGTGGGGCATTATTGACTACCAGTTTCCATCAGTGGATAATTAGGTTTCCATTGGCCTAGGCATAGTTGAAAATAGAACCTCGGTTTACAAATGGGCAATCAACCTATAATGTGCATTGATTATTGTATTACCCTGCTATACTCTAGAGACATGAAAAGGTAAGCAAAAGAATGAACTGGTGCTACCAACTTTATTCCTAGTTACATTAGCTAATTCAGTGCTAGGTCTTTGCTTTGTTATGTCAGCTACTCTATATTAGATCACTAGTTTGCCAATTGTATCTAGCCTCCAGGATTTGAGAAAAGGGAATTTACTCACTTTGATATGTCTACGGTTTATCAGTCGTTTTACCTACTCACCAAATGTTTCTGTTGAATCAAAACATTTGTTGTTCCCTCATACTTTATGTTCCTTCAGTTCACTGATTGGCACCCATCTCATTTACTTTGTTTCAATTGTTGCAGAATTAAAATATTTGCTCCAATCTCAGTTCTAGCTTTCATTGTTCTTGTCCCTGTTAATTGGACCAATGATACCCTGCAATTCTCGAAGGTAGAGCACAGCAATGTTGATAAGCTCTCGATATCAAACATACCAGTTGGATCAAAAAGGTTAGCACTTATTTTTTGTTTTGGAATGTATCTACAGCTCTAGATGAAGCTTATGTTATGACACCATGATTCTTTGGGGAAGTGTTGTTTACCACCTACTGAGGCTAATTATTTATGCATATCTCATACATGTTACCAGAGTTTTTCAATACATTCTGTGGGGTTGGCTTATATAGAAGGTACGACTTGTGAAGGAGCGCTGGGCATTGCCCTGTATCCTTTTCCATTTATAGGTTCAGGAAAGTTGTAAAATTGAAGTAAAGAAGTTATATGGATGTGACTGCTATATGAACTGCTCTCCAGCCTCTGACAGAAACTGATTTTGGAGAGGAAAAATGTGGTAGATTGCACATGAGAAAAAACTTAGGAGCCAAAGCTCATAATGTAGAATAAATAAGACAAATTTGCACTTAAAAATAGTTCAAGTTCAAGCATTAGATTTAGGGAAATGGGTTCAGATTCTAAAATAGTTTCAAATTTTACACTCAATACACCTGGTCATTCAAATTAGGGATTTTAGTTTTGAGTTCACATTGACTGCTCAGGAGTCCTAACCAATTTCTCTTTGTGAAGGTTTATAGCCCACTTGGCAATGGCTTATGTTTTCACATTTTGGACCTGCTATGTACTATTACGTGAGTATGGAATAGTTGCAAACATGAGACTGCGATTTCTTTCATCAGAGAAACGCAGACCAGATCAGTTCACGGTATGACTAACCTATGATTGAATTATGCCTTGAGCACATAGTGCTATCCAGATGCTTAAATGAGTTAAAGTTGATGTTTGTACTGTTACTGCATTTCACATAGATTTTGAGATGAGAACTTGTTTCGTTTTTTCCCCTGAACTGATCAAGTGGATTTTGTTGTTTTGATTATGACTTGTTGAATGCACTTACTCAATCATTATCTTTTAGGTCCTTGCGCGGAATATACCGCCTGATCCAGATGAATCAATTAGTGAGCTTGTGGAACATTTCTTTCTTGTGAATCATCCTGATCACTATCTGACGCATCAGGTAATAATTACATAACATATTTCATGAATATTCATGTTATGATCCTTATTTTATTCTAGGAATTTATATCTGGATTCTCCACCATACCATCTTCCTTATTAGTATGGTTTTGGTGTTTCCAAGTTTGTACAGATGCATGTTTCACAATTTTTGGTAGATCCTTGTTTGCTTCATTTAAGTTTGGTACATATGATTCCTATTCAGATGGATTTTTATTTGATTCCTTGTAAAGTACATTTGAACGGTTATTTTGAAATTTCTTTTTCTGTAAAACAGAATCAACCATGCTATGTTAGATTTATTGCATGCACTTGTTTTGTAGGTTGTTTACAATGCAAATAAGCTTGCTAAATTGGTGAAAGAGAAAGCAAAGATGCAGAATTGGCTTGACTACTATCAGCTGAAGTTTGAAAGAAATGCATCTAAAAGGCCTACTACTAAGGTTATTCCATAAAAATAAACCATAGCTGCTGCTTTCCTTTCATATGGTTTCATTATATTTGAATCAAAATATGAACCCTTCTTTTTAAAATTTTCTTATAATTCTTTGGAACTCTCTTCTGCTGCAGACTGGTTTTCTTGGTTGTTTTGGTACGAAGGTGGATGCTATTGAATACTACACATCAGAAATTGAGAGGATAGAAAATGAAGTGAGTTAAATTACTGTCCAGTGCTTGTCATTTAATGAACTACATTCATTTTAAGTTATAATTATGTCATTGCACAAATAGAAGGATCTAAACCATTCGGTTTGATAGAGTTGGATCATAGCTAAACTTTTGACACAAATACACAGTTACACATATATTTCGAACATACACACATTAAGAAAAAGTATAGTTAGCTGTATATGTTTTTTCTGAAGTGGATTTTCTGTTATTTAGTGGCATAAGATGTGCTACTGAAGTAGCCTTTTTTACTTATGTATTCTGCATGCTACATAAAACCAAACTTTGATAGGACTGCCAGTAATATATTTGTCTTTCACAATGTTACATTTCCTTTAGTTTTTAAACAAAGGATACCTATCATAAATTATCAGATTTAACCCCTCATCTAAATGATATTCAGGAAGCAGAAGAACGTGAAAAAATTGTAAAGGATCCCAAATCAGTTGTCCCAGCAGCATTTGTTTCCTTCCGATCACGTTGGGGTGCAGCAGTTTGTGCTCAGACACAACAAACCAGTAATCCAACTGTTTGGTTGACTGAATGGGCTCCAGAACCTCGCGATGTGTACTGGGATAATTTGTCTATTCCATTTGTCTCCCTTACAGTTCGAAGGCTGATAGTTGCAGTGGCATTCTTCTTCCTGAACTTCTTTTATGTGATCCCAATAGCATTTGTTCAGTCTCTTGCAAATCTTGAAGGGATCGAGAAGGCAGCTCCGTTTCTGAAGCCTCTGATTGAAGAGTACGTCTACTTTAACATGCCATACCTTCTCCACAATTTTATTTTATTTTCAGTTCTACTGCAGTAGTTATATTACTGGTTTTAAATTTCCCTTATGTTGGACATATATATTTGTGCCACTTTGCTCGAACCATGAGTTAGGCGAAACTAAAACAGATGCATGATTATCCCATTTAGGTCACTGCTGCCGCATATTGATGTCATCTAACTGACTATTTGATTTAACTGGGACAAAATAAGTTACTGGAAGAAAGGTAACGAGTACCAAATTGGCAAACTTTTTATTTCTAAACATGCAGGAAGCTGTTTATTATATGACTTGTAGAATCATACTCGCCAGTGCTTGATTAGAAAACCGACCTCAACCCAAAAAACTAATAACCTTCTTCTTGTACAAAAGCGAGGAGATGTGAGACACCTCGAGTCCCAGCCAAACCTCATAACTGTAACTCCTCAGTAGCAACTGATAAAAACACCAACCAGACTAGGAGAAACTCCAACAAAGACACATTAAGGGTGCGTTTGGCAAGTCGAAACGATTCTGTTTCTCACCTGAAACTGAAGAATCGCTGCCAAACAAAAAAAAGGCTGGAAGTGTTTTGATCCAGAAACACTGAGGAACGATTCTTCTTTTGGCCTAGGCAGGCTGAATCGGCTGAAACGTGGTTTCGCATGGGAAACGAATCGATCCTCTCTTGTCTGCCCACTCTGCCCCTAACACAGGTACAAAGGAGCTCGAATCTTTTGGGAGAGAGAGAGAGAGCAATGGCGGCAGCTTTTTTCTCATGTACTATTGCTTTTCAAATGAGTAAAATTGCAAGATGACACAAGTATGCTGCACACAAGCTTATTCCAGTACCTTTTGCAATAAAAAATGAGAAAAAATCTATGTATTAGAGGGGCACATTGGTCATTTTAGCTATCATCATGTCTCTTGAGGATCAGAATCCAGCATGTGAGCCAAACGGTTCCAGCAAGTGATTCTGTTTCACAGAGAAACATTTCTCCAGAGAATATGAGTTTGAAACGTTTCTCATAGAATCTGGATCCCTACCAAACAGACCCTAATTACGATGGCACCAAATTGACCAAGCCCCCAAATTGGCATAGTTTCTTTCACACTGTTATATGGGCATGTTCCTCATATCTGAAACCTTTTAGTTGATTTTTTTTTCTCAGGCCCACTATTAAATCATTCATCCAAGGTTTCCTTCCGGGAATTGCTCTGAAGATATTCCTTATATTGCTCCCTAGCATATTAATGTTTATGTCTAAGGTTGAAGGATTGACCTCAATATCTTCACTGGAGAGAAGATCTGCATCCAAATATTATATCTTCATATTCTTCAATGTGTTTCTGGCAAGCATTATTGCAGGATCTGCTTTAGAGCAGCTAAAAAGCTATATTCATCAGTCAGCAAATGAGTATGTCCTTGGCTATCCTTTTATGCCATGCCATTAATCATTGTCATCCTTGTATTGTGTACTGATACATTATAGAGATGCATTTAACATAATTACAAGTTGGCGAATAATTCATCATCTATCCGTTTGGCTTGATGAAAAGATTTGAGATAATCATAGAGATTCATTAACTTAAGCTTTGAGATAATTATATTTAACCTACAAGTATTTATCAAATAATTATATTTAACCTAGAAATATTTATCATTGATAACATATGAAACAGTGACCAACCATTACTAGAAGTAGCTATTAGAGCAGTTGATATTTGGATATAGCACATAAGTGGAAGTATTTTTCTGGAGCTGTGGCGACAAAATTATGCTATGTCTGACTGGGTACATTGGTTCTACCTGTACTCTGAATGTTGCACAGCATTGCAGAACCTAGGTTTTAATAAGTTTGCCATGATGTAACTGTACTTTAAATGCTCACAGTAAGGACATAATCTGGATGCAGAAAACATCCCTAAAATTATTCATTATTTACTCCGATCCCCATCGTTTTGAAATTATCTTATAGGCATGCTAATTTTCAGTGTATTCCCCTTTGTTTTTCTGGTATGGCACTAGTTTGAAGGTCCTGCTATTAACATGTCATATTTGAGCCCCTTCATTTCTCCTTTTGTGTGTATGAATTTATTGCTATTATCTAATTTTCCTCATTTACAGAATACCAAGGACAATTGGTGAAGCAATTCCAATGAAGGCAACCTTTTTTATAACATATACAATGGTTGATGGTTGGGCTGGGGTAGCTGGTGAAATATTAAGATTGAAGCCACTAGTGATCTTCCACTTGAAAAACTTTTTCTTGGTCAAGACTGAGAAAGACAGAGAAGAGGCAATGGACCCTGGAAGTATTGGCTTTGACTCAAGTGAACCTCAAATTCAGCTATATTTCTTACTTGGTCTTGTCTATGCGGCAGTGACACCATTTTTGCTCCCTTTTGTATTGATATTCTTTGGGTTTGCGTACGTTGTGTACCGCCACCAGGTAAGCTAAGCATATCATAAATGCTTCGCATTTCTCATGTAGCATTGCATTTGGCATTATGTGGTTTATCGGGCTGTGCTACATTTGTATGTGCATAATTATAAATAATACTTGTTATTTTAATTAGTGTGTTGCATGTGTTTGGTTACCCTGATGTGTAACTTACACAATTTCACTGTTTCAGATAATAAATGTGTATAATCAAGAATACGAGAGTGCAGCAGCATTTTGGCCAAGTGTTCATGGACGTATAATCACAGCATTGATTGTATCACAGCTGCTTCTCCTTGGATTACTTAGCACAAAAGGCGCTGGCCAGTCAACACCTGTGCTCCTTGTTCTTCCTGTAGTAACCTTTTATTTCCACAAATACTGCAAGAACCGCTATGAACCAACTTTTGTAAAATGCCCATTGCAGGTATGTTTCCTTTTAAAATCCGGGTGTTGAAGTCATGAATATGAGCCTACCCCAACTTGCTTGGGACTGACAGGCTTTGTTGTTGTTGTAAAGTCATGAATATATGTTAGAACACTGATCATGCTTCTTTTGACATTAACTCCTTGGTGCATCTTCAAATAAACATGAAGAATGTTGCTTCTAAAACTCATTAACTTTTGTGCTCAGATTAAAAACAGCATAAATTCAAACATGTTTACAACAGTCGCACCATGGAACATGACTGCTAACACATTTCCATTTTCTTACCAGGAGGCAATGAAGAAGGATACCCTAGAACGTGCCAGAGAGCCAGGATTTGATCTCAAAGGATACCTAATGAATGCCTACATCCACCCAGTGTTCAAAGGTGATGAAGACGATGAGAAGTTCTCAATTACCGATGAACCAGAAACAGAGCAAGTTCTGGTGGCAACCAAGCGGCAGTCCAGGCGGAACACCCCTGTGCCCAGTAAATACAATGGGTCGGAATCACCTTCCCTTCCTGATATTGTAAATGATCAACGGCTATAAGATGTCTACAGTTTTCCTATGTATATTGAGTAAAGGATACAATAATGCTTTTGAATGCCTAGTTTATACTAGTAAGCAATGATGACCAATATATTTATGCATGTGGTTCTTTGCCCTGTGCCAATTGTCTTGGATTATTTCTTTCACCCTTGCTTCTTGTTGGGATTGTTGGCCATAATTGAATGAGAAAACTCCTTCCTTGACCTAAAAAAGTTAGGCTTTCTTCTTTGCCCCTTTTAGATTCAAAGTTACCTATTTGACCTGAAATCTAACTTTCCTTCCTTATCAGATTTGGCGATATAATGGTGTTAAGTGGGGGATGAAATGATGACTTCACCCCTAGGCGAAATAGGTAAGTTCAGTTTTTATATATTCCATTTTGAGGATTATTTAAACTATTTTTGCTTGGATTGAGGTTATACCTTCAACACATTTTCCAAACCATGCGAAAATAGTCTAAACAATCCTTAAAAAGGAAAATATATGAAAACTGAACTTACCTATTTGCCAAGGGTAAAATCGTCATTTTGTCCCCCACTTAATACCGTCAATGGCCAATTCCGATGGAAGGGCAATATATGGAAGAAAAGTTGGATTACTTCAAATCTAAAAAGACCAAAGAAGAAAGCTAAACTTTTTTTAGAGCCAAGGAAGGAATTCTCTCCTGAATCCTATAGTACAGCAGGAATTTCACAACTATTCGGCTTCCATGGTTCCTGTGCTTCCACAGCATAGTTTGTGCCAGCAAACACTGTTTTGCCGCGGTTATTTCGTTCAGGGATTGTTAAGGAAACGGTGTGATGTTAAATTTGGTTGAAGCTAGCAGCCAAACTGGTCTACATTTTATTGCTTTAAGGGTGTGTTTGGTTGGGCTTTTAGCTGGCAAGGCCACATCAGTTTCCAACAAAAGCAGCTTTCTCCTCGGTAGAAATTCCACGGCAGCCCGACCCCTGCTTTCTCCAGCTTTGGCTGCGAGAGGTTTGAGAAAATTACCCGCCTGCCATCGTTTATGCGTACCGGTTCGCTTTTCTTTCCCACCGAGCGACACCTTCCTCTCCATTCTCGAGCGAGCGCAAACCGGCGCCAGGGATTAGGGCGGCCGCGCTTTCTCCTTCTCCCTCCCCGGCGGCCGCGCGCATCTCCCTCCCCAGCGGCGGCGCGCACCTCCCCCATCCCCGGCGGCGGCGCGGGCCCTGCCCGGAGGCGCGCGTAGACAACTGGCGAGGAGGGAGAAGCCTGCGGAGTTCCCTTGGATTTCGCTGGCCTGCTCGCTGCGGACGGGAGAAAACCCGATTTCACTGGCCTGCTCGTTGCGGACGCGGCCCTGCTGGCAGTGCCGGCCCTAGGGGTAGGCCACCAGGTGCGACGGCGGAGGGCCTAGGAGGGGCCAAGCCTAGGTATATAAATCCTCACGTCCTATAGTCTATTAGGTATTAATAAATTAATGAGAAGAGAGACATAGAACTGATCAGGCAGCCCAAAAAGACAACATCGGCATTTCTTTCCTAGTTTCCTTTCTCCACGGCTCTCAGGTAGAGAGGAGGCGAGGAGTCACGCTGCACACAGCATACTCTGATCGTGAGTTCGCGATGTGCGCCTTACACACGCAGAGCTAGCGAGCCGCGCTGCCGCGAAGAACTAGACTACCAGAGACACAGACACGACGCATGAGGACGGCGACCAGGTAGGGCTCCACGACGATGACATCTTGATTCTTGGCTTATTATGAATTGCGATCACTGATCAGTTGTTTAGGTCAAGGTATTTTTTCCTTTTTATTTTTAATCCAAATTAATTATTTGTATAGTATTTCAGACTCCTGGTACTTTGTACCCATATAGTCATATTTTTCATCTAATTTATGTGTTAGAATTTTAGAATGTTACATAAGAAACATTTGCCATGGGTGATAAAAGAAAATGAATATATTAGTTTTTTAATCTACATCGTTCCTCGATAATTATCATACATCTACAAATATATTGCTTAATCTACATTATTCCTCGATAATTATCAGACATGTTAAATTAAAAATATGTTATTGAATTTGCTTTCGTTTTGCAAGTAAAATTAGCGCCTATATATTATAAGATTTTATATATACGGTAAGAGGAGCCGTTACAATGAGGGTCGTAGGGTCCTCAGAATCGTAGGAGCGGCACTGCCTGCCGGTGGATGCGGGCGAGAGCTCCCCTGCGGGCGGGCTCCGCCTTGGGCGCGAGCTCGGCGGCGCGTGGGCTCCTGCGCGCCCACCATGGGGAGGCGACGCCATGGCCTTGACCGGGCAGCGCCCCTCCTCCCCCCAGCTCCCGGACAGGCAGCAGCAGCGTGCTTTGTTCTTTTTAGAGGAGAGGCAGTGGCTCTGTTCTTTCTCAAATTTCTCTGTTCTTTCTCAAATTTCTCTTAAATTTGCATGTAAAAATCTTAATCGACCTTAATTAGTTTTGTTCTCTGTATATAACTCTACCAGTTTGTTTCAAGGGCAAAGATCGAATTCTCAACGGTTCGAGAGATCCAGAGCTTCAAAGTTTGGTAAATTTGATACCCAATTGGAATGCATGTCCAAGTTCAGAGCTTCATTTCTATGCAAAACTTACAAAATTAATTTCCCATTTCTAAAATTGCTATATACAGTGAATCAACGAATAACATAGTATTTAACAACCAATTTGTATACAAACAGCGTCTAAAGTAGACCGAGGTATTATAGACCTTTTACCCGTAGCTTACAGTCGCAACAGCTTGTCCTCGGCTGTTTTAGCAAACGGCTTTCAACTTTTTCACAGCTGACATCCACAGCAACTTTTCCACAACCGAAGATTAAGATTTTCATGTTGCTTTTTTTTTGGCTGACTTCAACCGGAGTTTTTTTTTTTTGGACTATCGGTCATTTTTTGTTTACCTCGCACGCCGCTCACTTCCTGAGAGCATTTCCAGCTATCAGACTCGGCATCGCTTTTTTTAGTTATGACTCGCCATCCCTGTTGCGCACGCCATCGTCGGAGTTCGGCAAGCCAAATCTGGCGGCTCGGTTTGGCTCGCTAGGACCGGTGCTACTTGATTCTTGAGCCTTCACGTTGCTTTGCTTCAAGAAGTCATTTGTTTTCTCTTTTCGAAAATTCAAACGGGTACTACATCAAAATTATAAAATCATGCCAAATTTACTGTTGATAGAAAAAATAACTAAGAACCCATTTGAAATATATTGATGTCAAAATCACTTGTAGATTCTAAATTAAAATTCATCAGATTATACTGTTTTTTAGATTATTTGAACTTTAGGGTATTTATTTAATTATAAAAAATCAAGGGAAAATCTGTTCACTCTTGTCAATTTGAATGCCAATAACTATAGATCAATAGGATATGGACAATTTGAACACCGATAAACTATAGAGGAAGTCCGGACGGACGGACCGACCCCACGCGCGTTACGCCCAATACAAAAAGGGGCGCCTAGTTACACTTAGGCGGGACCGCACCCTTCGAGCGCATGCGGCCACTCGTTCGGGAGCATGCGGCGCATGGGGGCCGTGCATCCGCGTGAGAGAGGATTGCCTGCCTGGTGCGTCCATTGGCAGTTGCAGGGTTGCCCAGGGCACTTGTCTGTTTGTGAGAGCAGCATGGACCCACATCTGCATGGCAGTTGAGTGCTGGCCCAAATTTTTCCGTCACTTCATGGCATCTAGCTTCGTATGTTTTATGCATTTCAGATATATGTTTCATCTGGATGTTGCATGTGTTTCATCTGGATGTTGTATATGTTGTAATGGGTATACACGTATGTTGCAAGTGTATTTTTCAAATGTTTCAGCTGTTTCAAATGTACGTTACAAGTGTTTTATCTGTATGTTGCATATGTTGCAATGGCTATACACGTATGTTGCAAGCATATGTTTCAAATATTTCAGCTGTTTCAAATGTATGTTAAGTGTTTTATCTAGATGTTGCATATGTTGCACTGGCTATATACGTATGCTGCAAGTATTTTATCCAGATATTGCATATGTTGCACTAGCCATACATATATGTTGCAAGTGTATGTTTCAAATGTTTTAGCTGTTTTAAACATGTGTTGCAAATGCTTTATCTGGATGTTACATATGTTGCAATGGCTATACACGTATATTGCAAGTACATATTTGAAATGTTTTATTTGTTTTTGAACGTATGTTACAGCAAATGCTTTATGTTGCATGATCAGGCACGGGAAGCGGGCGCAGATGAAGGTGGTCCCCTCGTGCGTGCGCGAAGCGAAGCGGGCGCACGGCCCCCACATGCATGCGCAGGCAGCTGCAGGCAGGGCCGGGCCGGCAGGCGCGGCAGCAGCAGTAGCAGCAGCGCGCGGACAGGGCACATGCATCCAGCGAAGTGTGTCACCTGCGCCGTTTCCTGCCGCATGCACAGGGAGCGCGTAGGCGCGGGCGTCCGCGCTAGTCTTTCCCATATATCAATAGGATACGGACAAGCCATTTGGGTTCTCTGTTGGAGTGTGTAGAGGGTGAAATTAGACTATCTACCGGAGAAGCTCTCATGAGGCGGAGACTACTGATGACCAACGAACTGAAAAACTGGAAGCCAGAACAACTCTGAATCTGAACCCAATAAACAATTGCTTCTGTTATATGAAAAAATGAACAATTGCTACAGCACGGGCACAAAAGAACCTAAACTGACATACCTATTGCGTTGTACGTACGGTTTATCAAAAGGAATAGGTTTAGGAAATAGGTAATACCGATATGTAAAAAAGATTTATAAATAATGCATAGAGAAACAAAATACAGACATTACACCAACACCAGTATGTTTAATCCCATGGAAAAACACAAATGACAAATTACATTGAGTTCCCAGTCCCTAGGGGTGGTTTTCAATCCAACAGCGCTGGAATTTGCCACGCATTGAACTGCACAGCTTCTGTTCACCAGAGGCTCAGCTCAGATCAGCCCAGTGCCAGTAGGTGATCAGCTCTTCTGATGCACAGCAATAAGATGAATGTCCATCTCCTTCAGCATGACCGACCGTCCACAGGAGTCACATGGTGCTGTCCTGGATCCACAGATACTCTCATGCTCAGACATGTTTCGCAGCCGGTCACGAACATCAGCGGGTTCTCCACCAGCATGGACTGTGTCACCACAGAAGCGGCACACAATCAATCGCAAGGGGCAGGTCGAGGATTGGTGCTGAACCTGAAAATTAAACAACAACGAGATTTAGTCTTACTTGAAAGAAAGAATTATTTTAGAAACTGATTCGGTAGTGTGCCCCTAAACCACGAAGAGAGAAGGGAAGACATACCATATCTTCCTTCTCCAAGACCACCCCACAGGGGCACTGCAACGGTTCATGGAAGACTTTCATATGCTTCTCCATTTCTCTCTGCTGGTAAGCTTGTCCGCACTTGTTGCAGTGCACATGATCTGCTGCTTCTTCCTTCCGAAGAACAACTCCACACCCATCATGCAGGCAGGCGACATTGTGTCTCATGCAGTATGCCTCATGAAGACGAGCAGACCGGCTGGCTATATGGCGCTTACAGTTCCTACACAGCACTGAATCAACACCAACACTTCCCGAGGCACTAGCATATTCACCAATCCTTTGGCTACTAACATCCTTGATAGCTACAGAGAGCTGGTACTTGGAAGTCCCTTTGAAACCATAAACTCCGATACTGTAAACACCACTGACCAAAGTAGCATCCCGTGGTTTGAGTATAAGAACCTTTGATCCCATTTCATGGGAAGACCACTCATGTCGGTGCTGAGTTGGGAATACTAAAGGATGTCTTGAAACGTAGATATCAGTGTCGCCACCGCTCACATCCGTATCTATTTTAACCTCGATATTTGCACGCCCAGAAGCTACTTTCTCGCTCAGATTTTCTTCAACTGAAAATTTATAGTACCTGAACTTTCCTTCTTCCACAACACTGGATTCTATGTTTCCAATCACAAGCGGCACAAGCATGTGTTGGTCCTCTTCGTTGTCCAGAACTGAATATGATCCCTCGATGTCAACTTCAACATCTGTCTCTAGGACAGATACACTTGATGCGGGCTTCAGTTCAAGAACCTTTAACTTGTACTGAAGCCGCCCATAATTCACCACAATGGTATCATTTTCAGATAGTGTTGCGTGATTGCGGAGTGCTGTTTCAAGGACTGCTCTATGATTAGGGAGATCCGAAAACCCAGCTCCTTCTGGCTTCAACTTCGCATAGGTTCCTTTGGGCAAACTGATATAGTTGACTTCAATAAGAGGGACCTCTGGGGTGTCACTCCGAAACAGGTTGTTCCAAACATGTGGCGGGAGTTCAGCAGAGCCTTCCCTTGCAGTGAATTCAAGAACACCACAACAGGTTGCCTCGGCGTCTTGTTCCATAGCAGCACCTGGGACTGTGTCCCTAACCTTGGACAACCTGAAGTACATGGGACCTTTATCGAGAGCTCCTTCATCAGACAACTCCTTAAACGAAGATGGTGGCAGCTTGATCTTATCCCCAGGGCCATCATATCGAAGTGCCTCAAACATGTGCGAGAATGAAACCCCCTTCCCCAGCTGCATCACCTCTTCCATTTTCTGGTCAGCCTATATCATAAGAAGTACAAAAGACAATTAGATGAGCACCCAGTAGCAGAAGTGCAGAACAGAGGACAAAGACTGCAGCCGTCCAAACATAATCAATATCAAGAATTTATTATCTGCAGCAAGTAGGCGGAAATGAACCGTGCAAGTAGCTTAATCGAAACAGTCAGTAAACGAGAATTCTAAAAAGACTAGTATTGGGTTTGCGCTATTGTTATGCAAGTGGCTAGAAACCGAAATTAATCCAACAAAATGGGAAATTGCCCTGAGGCCCGATCAGGTTTCTGGATCAAAATGTTTCTTTTCCTCTTAAATTGAGAGGATTGTCGCGATCGAATTGGGGAGCAACCTATCAAACAGTTTATCGACCAAACAGGAGAGAGAAATTTTCACGCAAAACGAATACTAAGGGTTCGTGGCGCTAGGCAACAGGTTTCTTCTCGCACAGGGATGGCATGTAATTGAGTGGAGGTGGTTACCTCTTCCTGGGCGCGTGCGGCGTCGAGTCGTCGCTCGCGGTGGGAGGCCTCGAGCGCTTCCCGGCGGCGCGCCGCCTCGGCCTTGGCCCGGCGGTCGCGCTCGGCCTTGGCCTTGGCGCGCTGCATCCGCTCCCGCTGCTCGCGCTCCAGCTTCTCCCGCGCCTGCCGCAGCTCGAAATCCATCCTCAAATCGTTTCCCTGCAATTCCTCGAGTCCTCCGATCCGATCTAAAACGAGTTTCGGTTTCTCTCCCGGCTCCTCTCGGCAATCCTCGGCGGCGGGAGGCGCGGGGAGGAATATATGGTGGGAGGGAGGCGCCGCGTCCGGGGTGGGTTCGGGTCGGTGGCGGCCGGAGGAAGAGGAAGCTTCGAGAGAGATGGCGTGCGTGCCTGCCTGCGTAACTGCGGACGCACGGCGGAGCGGGCCCGGTCCGTCAGTGACTGAAGCGGCTGTAAGCGTCAAGCGTGTACGTACCTATGGGCTTAACCGCTGATCGGGTGCTTTCAGTTTTATGGGCGTGGTACGAAGGGATTCAGGTCAGAGAGGGCTTCCGAGTCCGACATGGCTCGCGATCTGATTCACGGCTGAGTCCGGTTAGATTAGTGACCACGTATCATCCATCCTTTTCGAAGGCCGGGTTTAACCAAAAATTGAGGACAATAGTGTTTTGGTGCCGACCGGAACATTTTATCCAGTTTGATTGGTTTCATGCTCAAGGCTTTGTAACTCGTCTGCGCACGAGGTAGCAGCTCTAGGCTTGAATCAAATTCCAGGATGAGAGGAAACTCAGCAGCTCTAGGCTTGAATCAAATTCCTGGATGGGAGGAAACTTGGGAGTATCCCATTCCTGTTCTTGTAACTAGCCATATTGCCCGCGTTTCAGCTGGGCTGGAAGTTAATTAAAAAGGCCAGAGAGCCGAGTTTCAAAAAAAAGAGGCTTACATGTGAAGAGCCTAATAAATAATTGTCTAATTTTGCCATCTTCCCGAGCTGGTAGCCCTGGGCATTCGTTACTACCGAGCCGAATCCTCGGTTCCTCGGTTCTTCAGTTACCAGAAAACTCGGTACCGATCGGTTTTTCCAAAAAATCGGTACCGACGAAGTTCGGCTTCGGTTAGTTCGGTTCGGTTCCGGTTTCGAACCGAACTAACCGACCAACTCCGGCTTCCAAAAAAATCAGCGACTCGGGAGGGCGCGCCAGACTCTGGGTGGGATGCGGCGCCGCGGGAGGTCGGCCGTCGCAGGGGGCGCCGGGACTCCGGGTCTCCGGGAGGCGGGAGTTCGGTTAACCGAGGGGAGGAACCGAATTAACCAAACAAATTTCGGTTCTGAGGAAATGGGAACCGAACAGGGAACCGAGATTTCGATTCTCGGTAAATTCGGTTCGGTTCTCATTTTTTTTGTTCGGTTCTCGGTAAAATTTACCCAGGGCTACGAGCTGGAGTGCATTCATTGTCTAAGTGGTTGCATGTATTAGCCTGCTATATGCAAGTTTGTACAAAGCTTCAAGCAAAACAAATATTACATTAGCTAGTAGCTGTCTACGTTCTTTGTTGGACAGAGGTTATACGCCATATTTGGTTGTACTCCCTCAATCCCAAGTGATATGATCTATTCTAACTAAGCCTGTCGTCGGGAGGTTATGGGCACACCCGTGCCTACCCATACCCGCACCCATATTCTGCTTACCCGCATGATCCCCTCCCCACTTTTGCTCATACCCAATTCCCCATATCCATTGGATGATCGGGTATCCAATTTACTTTAATTACAGAGCTGCTGTAGGAATGTTGCAGCTGATGATCGGCTCCGACGGCTGCATCGAGCTTGCACACGGGGACCTTGCCGTCGTCAGGCTCACCAAGGACGACGTGGCCGTGGCCACCGCGGTGCGCGTCGGCAAGGACCTGGGCTTGCCGCTCGCGCGGGACGAGCCCGTCGTCAAGCTCTACTGCCTGCACTACCTCTTCACGCTGCCGGACAAGGACGGGACGTTCCTCAACTATGGCGTCTCCTTCAATGCCGCCGCCGTTGACGCTTCCGCGCCGGCGTCGCTCAACGGCTTGCTCCGCTCCAACGCCTGCTTCTCCACACCTTCTTACATGGTGGTTCCGTCCAAGAGCTCCTGGCCACCGCCGCAGTCACAGCCGGTTGTGTCGGACGGGTACTGGAATGAGTTCGCGCCGAGGATTGTAGGCTACAACGGCGTGCTTGCCAAGGCCATCGCCATGGGAACCCGAGGCCTACGCCAGCCAGGTGCTCTGTAGTCTGTATGCTGCCCCTCCCATGCGTTCTGGCAAGTCCATCCAGTGGAGACCAGAGAAATGAGTAATACCCTCCCCGTATCCGCCTCTCATCGGGTATTACCCATACCCGACCCGTTTCACATGGGTATGGATTTGGATAATGGGTATGAATACCCAACGACAAGTTGAATTCTAACGTTGCATCCCAGTGGTGGAGACCGCTTCCACGATGGCCTCGTATCCCAGCGGTCCTGGACCTTCGTCGGCAAGCGACGGAGCAGGTAAGCGGGGCAAGGGTAAGTAATATTGGGGGGGTTTGGAAGAAGGAGATGGGATGGAGGATGAGGACAGCAGATGGAAATTCGTCAATGACTACGGTAGTCGGCCTGCACCCGACCCCGTAGTGGACCTCCGTCCCATAGGAGCAAAATCCAAGTTCTTGGCATTGGCGGACGACGATGATTCCAATGAGGAGGTCGCGTCTCAGTCGCCATATAAGCCAGACTTGGTGTGCCATGCAGCTATCCATGGATTCTCCAAGGAGCAGCTGTATGAGGCAGAGATAGCGTTGCAAGACTCGTCGGTTCATCGGTGGGTACAAGAGCCTATGACTCCGGCTTCGACGGATACGAAGGTTGTGCTTGTACGAAACATCATGAAGGCATGGATGGATGTATGGCGGACGGCCATGAGGCCATGGTCGGGGAAGTTACCATGACCAAGGGTGTCGCTGGTGTTGACACTCGGTGATTGCGCGGTAAGGGATAAGCGCGGTCGACGACCAGTGAAAAGGGGAACTCTTTCTGAGGCCTTACGGGAGGTATCTTCATTGTCACCGGCGATGATGGAGACGCTAGAGGTCCTCGGCGACCAGCAGCCTGACATTCAAATTCAAAATTTGAGTGATCCGCTTTCAGCGCTCGACAGACGGCTGCCATCTTGATCCGAAACATTCGCAGGGATGAGTGGGCCTCTTGACAAGGTCCAACCTAGGCCTTGTGCAATGATCGGGATAGGATGTAGGAGGTGTCGCGGAGGGAAACTGGCCACGCCTTTTTTACTCGGCACCTATGATCTTGACACGATTAATAGAAAAACCCTAGCTGCCACTCCCTACTCAGTTTCGCCCTCATACCTCCAAGTGTTGCGTGCTGGCGTAGGGAACGACGGCATCAGCAACGATGGTGGTGGTGCCAGAGGAAGGGGATATGGAGCTGGTCATGGAGGAGGATGCACAGGTGGTGGTGGCGGTGCGTGCGCTGGCCGATAGGGCTACGGTGTCAGGTATGGCTACAACCACCACAACGTCGATTGCGCACACTTCAACGGTCCTCGCTACAACCCTAACCTTGGGGCTCGCCCACCGAACTGTGGTCTAGGCTGGGAGTACGAGCGGGGACAAAGAGGTCAGTACGGCGGCAATGGCGGTCATGGATGGAACGACGGGTATCGATAGGGCCGCAACTATCAGCGGCACATTCCACAATGGGATCATCCCTTGCAGCTGCAGTGAGCCCCCAAGCCTTGAGGTCAGGGCCATGCCTTTGTCTAGGGTTGCCGGAAGGACCGTTTTGCCCTGATGATGCAAGGAATTGTCTCCCTGACCTCTTTTTGAGCGATTGTGAGTTTTTTTTGCAATCGTGCGCTGGCTCGTAGGTCTTAGTCCTTTCGCTTTTTTCGTGTGATCGAGCCATGATCACATTTTGGGCTTCGCATTGCTCCTCATGGAGGATTCTTCTGTGCTAGCCTGGCCGTCTGCCCCATCGAGCCCTTTCGGAGATGTCATGGACCTCCGACGGTTTGTGAGCCTACGGAGCTAGCCTTAGGTCTTGGACCTTTTGCTTTTTCTGTGTGACCGAGCTGTGATCACATTTTGGGCTTCGCATTGCTCCTTAAGGAGGATTCTGCTATGCTACCCTGGCCGTCTGCCCCATCGAGCCCTTCCGGAGAGGTCGTGGACCTTCGATGGTTTGTGAGCCTCCAGAGCTAGCCTTAGGTCTTGGACCTGGGGCGCAGGGAGGAGCTGGTCATGGCTTGGCCTTGACCTATTATGGGGTCATGGGGACCCGACTCCATTTTTCCCATGCGCCCTTGCCGACCTCGAGAGGTCGTGTTGCCCTGTTACAGGCGGGTTTGGTTTTGCCCCACATGGGGAGAGGCATGTCCACCGTAACCACGCAGCTGGAGCGGTGCGCCTCGTCGGGGTCGATGGGTAATTCTAGTGAGACCCTATATCCTCCCTAATCGACATGGAGTTCGGCTGTGCCTCACCTAAAGATGTCCCATAAATCATCGGCCATCAAACCCATCGGTCCCCGATCGCCTCCGCAGCAGTCAGAGGGCAAGGTGCCTCCCCCCAGAGGGGTCAACCCGGGTGACTTCGAAGCAGATGACTCGAACATAGAGAGAGATGGTTGCGTGGCTCCGCACCACTGATTAGAGGCATAGGGGCCCATCTCACCCTACCCTATCCCTTTGTGGCCTTGAGTCCTTCTAAGGACCGGCCCAAGAGTGGGTGTCCTAAGCATGACGCAGGGTTGTGGTTGCGGTGGGTCATTCTGCGCACGGACTCGGGGGACGGTTGGCCTCCCTAGTCACATCATGGCATAATGGCGCCCACTCGCGAGCAGTCATGCGCCATGGGACACGGGCGCGTAAATCAAAATGATATGGAAAGAGTAGGAATGTGTAAGGCTTACTTGGTTTGCGTCGTTGGGTGGGCAACCGCAACCTCGCGTTCCCTCCGATCGCTCCTCCTGTGCTGCGAGATTTCCAAGACAGTTAGTAAATGCAAGTGAGCACACGTGTGCTTGAGGTATCCACCGTGACCGGTCCCTGTGGCTATAAATTAGGAGAAGTGGTATAGTGGGAGAGTCATATGGTCTTGGGCGCCTGTTTCGCTACTTCTTCCTCCTCGTTCCCGTGCACTCGCAGCTT